TTACTTTTTCGGATACGTTTGGTTTACAGCATAGAGTTTCGCATGTGTATCGATTGTTTGTTGGTTCCATGTTTTTATCTTTTTTGCCATGATATTATCATTATAGGTATTGCAATATGTTTCAGAAACAATTTGTAACCCAAAATATTCATTTTTTAAATGATATTTACCATTTTACAAAACAATTGTATGATTCTTTCTTGTAAAAAGGTTGATGCAATCTTAAACAATTTGAATTAAGTGGTGTCGTTGTTTAATTGACTATACATAACCTAACAAAGAGGTTGAGACATAATAGAGGTTTCGTAAGTAGGTGAAGAGACATGCATGCCCATGCCTCTACATTACTACAAACCAAAATTAGCATACCAAATCCTATATTGAAACTCAACTCCTCCCATAAATTCACCCGTTTCCACAACATTGATCACTTCCTTCTCTTGATCTTCTTCCGGTTAATAACAAACCAACTTCAAAAAAGAATCAATTAGCCAAATAGCAAACATATAAAATAAAATTAGTGTAATAGCCATGTAATAAATATAATAAACAAAACTAACAACTGATCTGAGAAAAATGATGAGTTTGTCCTTCATACGAAACACTTGTACACACATAGAACAAACTTGCTTTTTCCATACTATATTACATAACATAGAATTTAATGCAAATAATTTTGAGTTAAATTATTATATAATAATTATATAATTTTGAGTTAATTCAGCATGCACATCTTCTTTTATATAACAAGATAATTATATTAAACATAAAATAAAAACATTATTTAACGAGAAAATTGCAATTCAAAAAATTAAAGATGAATTTATCTTACAAATAGAGTAAATTAATCCAAAATTTTGGTTAAGTAAAATTTACGCTAATTGTTGAATTTTCTGTTCAGAAAAAATATTATTATGTTTTCTTTAAATTATATTATTATAAAAAATTACGAAAAAACTGAATCGAACCAAACAAAAAAAAAATTAAATTTAAAATACATAAATACGACCTTTGTTTTAAAAGGAATAAAACTACCTAAATTATCTAAAGGTTCTACAATTACAATAATTTTGTGAAATTGTTTCAAACAAAATTTTTTATAAATTAGTCAAAATTATTTGTAATTACATGAAATACACAAATTTGATAAAGTGTTTACGTGTTTCATAATGATTTTAAATATCCGAAATCATATATATTATATCCATATGTTCTGATTCATTTTTCAAAAATTATTTCCAATCTACTTTTGATATCCTAAAAATTACTGTCTAACTCGAATATCTGCTGTTATCCAATCTATTATCCAAAATAAATGTATTTATGTATCAGTTGGTGTTAGAAAAATTGTTGAATTTAGCTGAATTCAA